AGTAACATTGCAGGTTACAACGTCTTCCTCATTTTGGAACTAGCACAGTAGTGGGTGACAGCAAATCCAAAGTAAGAAAAAAGTGGTTGTGTGGTCTTGGATCAAGGATGTGCACTGAAATATACTGGACAGTATGAATGAAAATATAGTGATGCTTATTGAGGAAACAATGAAGAGATGGAAATTGTAATGGCTAGATTGCAGAGGATTAAAGCAAGGAGCTGGAATAACGGCTGGAAGGATCAAACTTGTGATGCTTTAGAACAGGCTCAGGACTTCTGAACATGGTGTGGAAGTTTCAGAGCTGGTGAAGGGAAAGGATGAACCGGGGAGCTGAGTAGCCTGGAGGAAAGAAGAAGACAGCAATCTAGGCAGTAAATTACCAAAGCAGCAGAGCTGGAGAAGTAAAGCTGAAAGAGATTCACGAAGAGATGAAAAGATGCCTTTTTGAGCCTTATTTTTGAATGAGAGCAGTAAGAACCTTAATTATACATCCCAACAAGCACTGAAAGCAATTTTACATTTTGGTGGTCCTTTTTCTCCCATCTTTGTTATTAAAAAATGCCAGTAGATGCCTTTGGGAGACCCTAGCAGGGCTTTGGAACATATGTCATAGGCACAGTGCTATTCTCTTCCAGCCTGCTGTGAACAGACTCTCAGTAAAAGCTGAAATAAGGCTTTTCACAAAGTCAGTTGTCCTGTAAGGACATTCCTCTGTCTTCAGACAAAATCTTTAGCATTGTTTGCTCTCATTTGTAATAGTTTAGTGTCCAGTGCTATGTCATTATAGGACAGGTTAATAGCAGAACAGGATGGAAAAATGTGAAATTCCATCCTGTAAGTTGTCTGCTTACAGCTTTGCATGCTGAGGTACCAGCTTTTCCTGCTTAGCAGTACCACAACGCACAATTCTGACGCAAAAAATCTTCTTACATGTTGCAAAGGGAAAAGTCCAGGACATTTTAAGTTTTTGTGTTGTATCTGACCACATAGAAACCAGAGAGAGTAATTTTCAAAGAGGAACTGAACCAAGACTGCCAAATCATTCCACAGGCAATACCAAGGACTTATTGTATGGTAACAATGACTCTAGCAAGTAAGATTGAACTTGTGGCCTCAGGACAAAAAAAAAATCTCTCTCTTTCTGGCTACTTAGAACTTTTCAGATCCAGATCTCTTTTAACTTCAGTAACTCTTTTGCCTATGGAAAGTTAACTAGCAAAAAAGTACTTTTTCTGTTTTTCTTCTTAGTAAGCTTTTAAGTGATTGTTGAAACTATTTTATTTGCATAGCAAGGGAATAGGAAGACACGCCTGATCAGCTACCACGTTTCACCTCAAGCCAGTGCCACTCTATCATTCTTGCTTACAATCCTCTGGTTATAGCTCCAAAGTCTCTGATAACACAGAAAGGAGCTTTGGGACAGGCTGCACAGAAAGACAGGGAAGGGCTAGTGGGGTGCAGAATGAAGCTTGAGGAAGGAGACTAGAAACTGGGGGTCAGCAGGGATCAGGAGACAAGCAGGGAGGCAGAGACCAGAGGAAAGAGCTGGGACTGGATGTCCAAAGAGCAGTGCCAGGAGAGGTAGATTAGGACTAGCTGTTTAATGAAGCTGGGACTGTAATAAGAGACCTGAAGACCAGGGATTAGATCTGTCTGCATGAAGAGTTGGAGAGTGCAAGAAATAAGCCAGAGTGAAGAAGCAGCAGAATGCTGGCAGTCTGCCTGCTCACAGTGCTGGAGTTAAATGATCAGTATCTCAGAAATACCTGCCCCACTACTACAGGTTTTTGTAGTTAACTTTTTCTGAAGGAATCCTAAGCGAGGTGTCTTCCAACACTTGACATTTTAAATTTTAAATAATTGTTTGGAAAGATTCTTACAGAAATATGCTAAAAAAAACAAATGTGAAATGCGTATTATTTTATCCTTATGTATCAGAACGCTTTGTCCATCTGACCAAGAAAAATGCCTCTTCTATCTGGAAATGAAAACAAGGAAAAAATTAAAAGAAGGTGTGGACTGGATACTTTTAGAAAATCAGAAGAGGGATTAAAATTGGGCATTAGACTGTAACTTAGGTTCACACATATGAGCTTCAGCATAGACAGTCCTTTGCTAAATCAGTTAGAAGCAAAGCAGAAGTTACAAAATCACATGTCACTGAGCATTCTTCTAGAATATGCAAGCACGGATGTATCTGGTCATGTCCTATTGCTTTTATGTTCCCCCACTATCAGTAGTTGAAGGGGTCTCCTCAGGAAAAAAAGATCCTCCAGCAATAAATGAAGGAAGTGCCTCTGAGAAATAATCTGTATGTTCGCTTCAACTCTGTTACTTAAAAGGAACAACTCTAAGGAAAGATTTGGAGATTTGGCTCTCAAATTCAGTTTAAAAAGTTCTTACCTTGGTAGGAACAGCCAGAGGCAGAGGAAGAAACAAAAGGGGTACAAACACTATGATCAGGTATTTCCTGAAGGCCAGGGTCATCTGCAAGAAGCCAGCCATGGTGCTGGAGCTGGCCCAGTGCTGAAAGGGCCCCGCTCTGCTGCTGGGGACTATATAAACACGCGAGAATATTAACCATTGACCTCAGGAGGTTGAGTTGTTTTTGGAACTGTAATCAGAGAAAGAAGGAGGAGAACAAAGAAGGGAGGGGACAGGGAAAGAGTGTCGGACCAGGGACTTTCTTAAGACAATCTTCCTGATAACTGGTAAATCCAGGACAGAATTAACTCCTTGTGGGCCAAGTAGGTTCATTAAAAGCATCCTGAAATGACCTACACTTTTTTTAAAGAATATTGATGTTTTGGTCTTTGGCCTTCTCTGAATAAGTGCTGTTATCCCTCCTATAAAAGAGAAACTGCTCCTTCTGTAATAGGTTAAAAATTGTTTTTAAAATATGTAGAGTACTGAAAAACACATCTGCACCTGTAATACTCAAATATAGAGATTGAAAGCATCTGCACAAAATGTTATATAAACATCATTGTATTCGCTGAGAAATTCTTTGGGCAGCAAAAGCCACTAGAGCAGAGCTCCTGTCACCAAATGCCACATCAAGTCCCCACACAGAAAGGGACTTACAGCCCTCACCACCTGAGAGCAGGGGAAGCCGCTTTTGTGTGGTCCAAGGATGAGCCTCATGACAATTCCGTTTTCTCCTATGCAAAGCACAATAGGCCAAATGTTAAGGTCTGGTCAGAGCTCAGTTTCTCCCAGGTGGCAGCCCAGTATGTTATGAGAAAGGCTTAAGGCCAAAGAGGGAACTTGGTAACTCTTTCTGTCACAGCCTGTGATATCTCAGTGGATTGGGAAAGACTTGACTGCTGTGCATTGCTTTGCAGACATTGGGCTATATTTTTTTTTACCTTTCTGATCTTGCAGGTTCATAGGCACAGCTTTGGTAGCTTACAGGGTATATTGAGGGGGCAAAAAAAGAAAAAGAAAAAAAAGAAAGAAAAGTGCTACTGGGAAATTACTGGCAATTCTTGTCCCAGTAGCAAGACATTTCCAAAATACAATCAGTGAATTACTTGATTCTGTAAATACGCAAGAATAGAACTAAGGTTTTTTTACTCCCCAGGGAGTGTGTTGTTAGTGTCACTTTGATGTCCTCATTTGGTAGATCATGCAAGTGCATACTTCAGCTAATGATGCTAACATTTCCAGCTTATTGGTATAAATTGTCTCAGCTCTGTTTATAGCTTACTCAAGCAGAGAGAGAGAAAGGGAAGCTCAGACATGAGGTCATCTGATGTCAGCTCCACAAAGAGCTTCTGCTGTTTCTCTCGCTCATCCCTTTTCTGCCGGGGCTTGTTTTCTTTCAATAATGTGCTTATGATTGAAAACCAGTGGGGTGTCAGTTGCCAGAGCTGAAAACTCACAGCTCTGTTGCCAGCTCGACTTGGGCATATTGTTCACAAGAAACAGCATCATGTTGCATAACTACCAATTCTAAGCTTTAGGATATCGCCCGTGGTACAAAAAGAGTGAGAAGGAGCTTTCAAACGAATTATATTCCCCTCACATTTTGCAGCCACTTAGTGTCGAATTGGTGTCTGGAAAGCTGCAGTGACAACATCAGCCAATGGCAAAGTCAGTTTTCTACTTTCTACTATTATGTTCTAAGGTTGCAATGAAAATCTAAAAGGAAACCTTGTTTTCACGTCTCTGTGCCCCAGAGGTTGGCCTCCAGCTGCAGCCTTGCCTGCGGGCTGCAGGTGACAACGCAGAAGGGCCCCAGCTAACGCATCGTGCCTCTTCTGTGGAAGCAGCACGTCCACAGCGGTTGGTTCCACTACAGTTCGAGTCCTGTTGCTTTCAAAGCTGCTATAAATGAGCTCTGTAAGTGTGTTACTGCAAAATGGATGGTTTATGTCCTCAGGGGGATTTGTTAGAGCTTCACCTGTAGCCCATTAACACTCCCTCGATGTCAAAGGAGTGATGGCAATTTACATTAATTTGGAACTACATCAGTTTATATAAATGGGTTAATCTAATACTCTGAATTGTGTTCTTTGAATTTAAAGGACAGCTTGGTCTTTGCTTACTGATCTGCTCTTCGAGGCAGCCCAAACCTAACAGGAAACCCAACAGCACTGCCAAAACCTTTTGTGTGTTACAGTTTGTAGGTTCTTTTGTCCTTTAGAAATTCGCTGTGAATTAATATATGCAATATTGCTATCTACAGCATTCCGCAGCTCCTGGTGCATTTAGAACGTCGGTGATCAGTCTTCCTTTTTCCTCTTTTTGGAGGTAAGAAAAAAAAAAAAAAAACAAAAACCAAAAAAACAGGAACGAACGCGGTTTGAAGTTCAGAGATCTTTAACCATCGATAAATACACCCAACCGGGGCTGGAAGCTGCCTGAGGAGCAACAGCCGGGTCTCCCCGGCCGGAACGCGCTGCAGACGCAGAGCCCATCCCTTCCTCCTCCTCCTCCTCCTCCTCCTCCTCCTCCTCCTGCGGGAGGAAGCGCCAGAACGCGGCGCAAACCCCGTTCCCCGGTTCCCCCGGGGCGGGGCCGTCCCGTCGCGTCCCGTCGCGTCCCGGGTGGAGCCCCCCCCCCCCCCGCCGCCATGGCCGCGCCGCCGCCGCCCGCCCGCCGGTGCCCGCCGGTGCCCGCCGCCGAGCCTCTCCTCTTCCTGGCCACCCTGGCCCTCGGCCTGCAGGGCCCGCTCGCCACCCAGTACCTCTGGGACCGGCTGGGGACCGAGCGCGGCTACAGCGGCCCCAACGCCAGCGGCCCCGCCGGCTGCGGGAACGGCAGCGCCGGCGATGAGCCCCTGCGGCAGGTGGGGAAGGGGGGAAAGGGGGGGGGGGGAGTTGGGGGGGCTGCCGCCTCCCCCGGGAGGGGTCCGGGGTGGGGGGGTGGTGGGTGCTGCTGGCTTCAGGGGTCTGTTTCTCTTGCAGGAGGTGGAAGCGCTGGTCTCCCGCTGGAACCTCTATATCAACCTGGGCGGCTTCTTCGTGGGTCTCTTCTCCGTGACGCTCTTGGGGCCGTGGAGCGACAGCGTGGGCCGCCGCCCGGCGCTTGTCCTGCCGGCACTGGGGATGGCCGTGCAAGCGGCCGTCTACCTCCTCGTCATGTACCTGCAGCTGCACGTCGCCTACTTTCTCCTCGGGCGCCTCGTGAGCGGCCTCCTGGGCGACTACAACCTGATCCTGGCCGGCTGCTTCGCCCACGCGGCCGACACCAGCGACCCAGGCGGGCGCACGTTCCGCGTGGCTGCCCTCGAGGCGTGCCTCGGCGTGGCGGGCATGCTGGCCAGCGTCGGCGGCGGCCAGTGGCGCAAGGCGCAGGGCTACATCAACCCCTTTTGGCTGGTGCTCGCCGCCAGCCTCGCCGCCGCGCTCTACGCCGCTTTCTGTCTGCAGGAGTCGGTGAAGGAGCCGAAACCAGCCAAGCTGTTCACGCTCGGGCATTACAGGGCTGTCTGCAGGCTGTACACGGCCCCGGAACACCTGAGCTCCAGGAGGAAGCTCGCTCTTTACTCCCTGGCTTTTTTTCTTCTTGTCACTGTACATTTTGGAACCAAGGACCTCTTCGTTTTGTACGAGCTTGGCTCCCCTCTCTGCTGGGCTGCTGACCTCATTGGGTACGGCTCAGCCGCCAGCTACCTGGCTTACCTGAGCAGTCTGGGAGGGCTGCGGCTGCTGCAGCTCTGCCTTGGAGACACCTGGGTGGCAGAGATGGGCTTGATCTCCAATATTTCAGGACTGGTGGTGATTTCTCTTGCTACGACAACACCGCTGATGTTTACAGGTGATGCTGAATTCTTCGGTCCCCGTGTCACAGGCCCTTAGCTCAGAGGTGCCAGTAGATGCAGGAGGGCAGCGTGCTTCTGGGAGTTCAGGCGCGTGACAGAAGTTCTGCCTCTGTTTCAGCCCGTGTACCATCCAAAACGCGGTTTGCTGACAGCAAAGCTGGACAAACACTGGAGTTGAAACTGCAACCGTATAGTTCCTAGAATATAAAGTTTCCCAGAAGCTGAATGACACTGCAGACACAGACTAAAGTGCATTATGAGGTGCAGGAGCATGAATCGGGTCTAAATATAGCAGGGAGAAACTGCCTGGAGCTACAGATTTCTGGGATTGGCTTTGGAGGCTTTCTTTTTCAGCTGAGCTTTCCCTAATGTGCTGTGTTTTGCTCACAGGTTATGGGATTCTGTTCCTTTCCATGGCAGCTACTCCAGTCATACGAGCCAAGCTCTCCAAGCTGGTCAGTGAGACGGAACAGGGTAAGGAGTTAGCCGGGATGCTTAAGCCAGGTCCTGAAACACTCTTCTTGGAATGTTGAAACCAAACTGCTTTGGGAGGTTAGGACTTCCCGGGCTCCTCTGGACTCGTGGGCCCCTGCCTTCACCCTCATGCCCAGGGTAATGTTTTATTTTTTTCAGAATAATTGTCATTTGTTGATTTAGACTTGCTACATTTTTGAGATGACAAGAGAAGAAGAGCAAGATGCAAAGTACTATATTCAAGCTCAGGAATAGTTCATTCATTCATCTGTTTGTTTCCAAAACTTTTAAAAGGAGCAAGAGTTAAAATGGATTATATAACAGGCAGAAAATAGCAGTCTCCCTGACCATGACTCTCTTCTGTAGATCAGTAACAGTGGGAAGAAACTTAGTGTTGTTAGAGGGTTATATCATTGACCATGGTGAAAGATCATGGATAACCTGTAGGAGGAGCGTATTTGCCTTTCTTCCAACAATTTGTTTGAAGAGCTTGCACTTACTGTTAAACACTACAAAGGAATGTCTCTGCAGGCAGGCAGAGGGGAGGAGGGAATCGAGGTGGGAAAGATCGAAAGGTGACTTCGTACAATTCATGTTTCTTACATTAGAATGAAGGTGGCGCACACTTGATACCAGATTTATGATAGTAAATGTATAAAGTGCAGTTTTCTGCTGCACTTAATGTTTAACAAGCGATAAGATGTGCTTTGGCAGTAAATAGACCTATATCACCCTGTCTAAAGCATTTACAATCCAGCTGATATATAATATCCCTGGTCACCTCTGGTGATGCAAATTCTGGAGGTCGGTGAGGTGGTCCTGGCTGCAGAGGAGCTGAGCTTGGCAGGCCTGGCCTGCCAGCCCAGCGCAGCATGCCTGATCTCTGCTCCCAGCTCCTGCTTGCCACGCTTGACAGTGCAGGCACCAGTTTTCTGATCGGGACTGCAAACCCTTAGAAAGGTTCACACAATCCCACTGAGGGAGGTGACGTGGTAAAGACATTTGCAGGCAGGGCCATCTCACCATTAACCTCTTATATATCTTTTCCAGGTGCTCTTTTTGCTTCTGTTGCCTGCGTGGAAGGGCTGTGTTCACTTGTGGCTACAGGAGTGTTCAACTCTCTCTATCCTGCCAGCTTGCACTTCATGAGGGGCTTCCCGTTTCTCTTCGGGGCTATAATTCTTCTTATTCCAGCAGCTATTATTGGGTAATTTACTTTACATTTCTAAGCTTTGCCATAGGACCTGTGAAGTGTAATATGAAAAATACTATTTGCTCTACACAGGATGGAGGCTTACAGTTTTTAAGGCATATTTTCAATTAGGCTTATTGAGGGGGTGTTTAGTGCCCCAGTAAGCGGAGGTGAAGGTCCATTTCTGCTGGCATCTGAATCCTAGTGATGAACTCACCGCCTGCGTAACATAGCTGCTCACGTTCAAAGTGCTTCAGGGTTTCACTCCACCCTCAGAGTGGAATCCAGAATTGGGAGCTGAAATTTTAAAATCCTCCTTTATGGAAGAGGTGGAGCTCTTTTAGCACTCTCTCTTCCTGTTGTTTCTCTACTAATTAAAGCAAAATTTGTGTCATGATAGAAAACAAATCCCCTGGTAAGTCCTGGGAGAGAGAGTGTGTTGGGGTTTGCCGTAGAAGTACAACAGCTCCTGGCAGGGTCATTTTGTTCTGTTCCTTTGAAACTTTAAAACTCACTTCATTCAGTGACATCCCAGTGTGCCTTCATGGGCTCTAACTGTTTGTTATTTCTTAGGTGGATAGAAATCTGGGACTCGAAGCAGGACTACAGTCACTTCTCAGGTGCTTCCCTGTCCGCTGCAGATGGCTCAGCAGCAACTTAGCAACAAGGAATTGGCCAGCTCGGCAGTGTCCATCTGAAGACTGTGCTTTATTCTTCCCTTGGAGGACAAATTAGAGTGGGAGGGGCACCTTGCTTGTCCTTACTAATTTTTTAATGCCAAATAGTTGGAAATCATGGCTCTGGCTACCAGTAGGAACTTGATTTGCAGATGTGGATGCCTCCTCACCATTGTGTTGGCTCATCTGTCAGAGAAAACTCAGGACCCAAAAGCCGATCAAGAGTAAAAGTTATTGTTGCCCATTTGCAAGGCTGGTTAGTGGTTTGGTGGGAAGAGAAGGTTCTGTGGCATGCTTTTAGTGGTGAGAGAAGACTGAATTCCGGTTTAATTGCCAAACATGTTCACCTCTGAGTACTACAGTGTGCAGCAGATGAGGTGGTGGTTTGATTGAGGCTCACACAAAAGCCTGCAGAGTGAGACTGAAGCAGAGATACCCAACAGCATGCTGCTGAGGAGAAAGATTGCTCTCCAAAACAGCGTGTTGTCAATAAAAGTCATACAAATGTCACATGCCAGACTAGGTTCCTGCAGAAATCCTTACGATGAGTGGTAGTTTACCACGGGAGTGCTATTGCCATCCTTATTGACCAAACTCGCTGTGTGCTTCGCAAGTCAGAGGTGTCCAAGGGAGAGAATCTAATGCATGAAGTGCTTGTAGTGAGCAGTGCCAGTGGTGTGTCCTGCCTGGCTGTCTGCAGCTCACCCGGGATTGCAAAGGTACTTTTTTAGTAATAGCTCGTGTGAGAATACTAAGGTGCATGTAGGTGCCTTAATTGACAGATGCCCAAACTGATGAAGTTAGGGCTAAAACTGACAAAATTGGGCCTCCCTAACTGAAGACCCTCACATTATAAATTTGAGGCCCCAGCTGTGATAAGTGTGCCCTAGAGTCATGTGAAATTACTGCTGTGCTTATGGTAGAGCCAGAAGCAAGAAGCAGTCCTTCTTCCTCGGTACATGGTGCTGTTGGGATGAGCTGGTGTGGGGACAGGACTAGTGTGTTCAGAGGTAAAATTATACCCCAAAATTTTGTGTCAGTGACCTCACTTCTGCTGCCCTTCTCGAGATATGTTGATACCAGCAAGCAAACCCCCTGTTCATGCTACTCATATTTGTTCTTTTCAAAGCATTAACTGTATTGCCTCAATCCTGTTTTCTTCAAACTGCCATAAACCAGCAGTTCTGTGTACATTGCATTGCACATAGTGTTCAGATGCATGCAATAATGTCCTCAACTGTGAAATTGCTTAGCAGATACGTTACTTTCAGAATGAATAAAGCTTCCATTCTCTTTTATGGTTCATAAAAAAGATAGCTTTTCTCGTACAGCTGTCGACATAATTTGTCCTTGCTTCTCTCTGTGCTTCTCTCCCTTATTTTCATGCTTCTTCCTTTACTGAAGACTCTGCAGGAAATTATCTGCCTTGCCCAGGGTGAGCATGTCAGAGTCCTGAATAAGAAAAAAATGCAGGTTTGGGACTTGCAAGCAGCCAAAGCTTGCTTTTCCTGAACACTGGAGTAAAGCGTGCAGGAGTGCTTAGGCTGTAATCTGTCCTTCAATATGCAGAAAATGTGAAATACTTATATGCAGCTTTGTTCCGTGTTCACTTGGAGTTTGTGATAAAAGCAGGAGAATTGGGGAGTGGAGAGGCAGGAGGTGGATAATTAGGGAGGCTTTAAGAACTTGGTGTTATGCCACTTGATCCATGTAGTTATGCCAGTGGACACAGGCAGGAGTTAGTGGCTGACTGATGGGCTAAACCCAGAATTAGCCTCCCTGAGGAACAGGGCATGCTGTGAGTGTTGCATTAGATGTTTGTGGCTGAACTGATTGTGAAGTAAGTCTTCTCTCCCAACAGACTCCATGGACACCAATGCTAGCAGCTGCTCAGTGTTGTGCAGCGAAGTGGAACTTGTGCACTGGCCCTGCTTTCCTGTTTGTGTCAGTGTGCTTGCAAAGGAGAAATTCAATAGGAACTATTATGCTCTATTAAAAAAATAAAACCAAAGTTTTTCTAGGCTGTCCTCCAAGAACTACAACCATGAAGCAAAGACATGATCTGTGCATCGTGGCTATGGGCAGCAGGCAGAGTCCCTGGGGATGCTGTGAGCTATGTCAGTCCATGCAAAGATGAGTGTGAAGTGTGGGTCCCCACCGAGAATGGTGCCTGGAGAATGTCAATTCTGCTGCCCCTTCAGAGGATGAGAGAGCGTGATGGCAAGAGAGAGCAAGCGTGAGAAGGCTGCAGGGAAAGAAGCATGTGACACAAAGAGAAAAGAGGTAGGGATTTAGCATGTAAACAAGATTTATTAATAATGACTGATAGAACAACTTTAAACACTCTCTGACATGACATAACAAAGGAATAAGGAAGGGTGCAAACAGAAGAATTAATTTCCTTGAGACTGTGCTCCAACAGGAAGGGGCTGGGTATGGGATGTTTTGTCAAGAGCAGGGTGAGTTCATTAAGGTGAAGATAACTGGATTATGGGGAGACGAAGAGTCACAGCCTGGGCAGCCAAAGCATGAGATGGGATCTTACTGTAGGTGAGACACCTAAGCTGCAGGGGACAAGTAAATCTCTATGTTGAATGGTGGGTGAGGGGGTTAATTGCTAGAGAGATCCTGGGAAACAAGACACAAGAGTCTTACTGTGTATTATTGTAGGGAGAAAAATCCTTAGTACTGTTTGTGTGGGACTCCTTCAGCGGCTATGGAGGCCTTGACATTCAATCAGCTATTCAAGACTTTTCCCTGAAGCAGCTCACAAGTGGCTTTTATCCTTTGGCAGATTCACCTTTGGGCTCATCTACTGGCTTCCTCATGTTTAATCTGGAGATTAGATAGATTCTATTTCTGATGAATGCTGGGTAGATACAGCTATTAACCTTTCACTGGAGAGCAAAGATGCCATTAACTGTGAGTTGATAAGATTTATCCATAAAACTGTGATTAAGCATGAGAATTTAACTTTTTTTTTTTTTTTTCTCAGATGTTCATGGATCTAAGCCAAAAGAAAATGTGGTTATGTTCCTGACAGTTAAGGCAGGCAGCAAGGCTTCAGGGAGAGCCACGAGAAGGACAAAGTGGCTGAGACTCCTCATTACTTCCTGAAAGGGTTGAGGTGTCCTGAGCAGGGACAGGCAAGGGGCTTGCTGCTTCTGCAGGCTGGTGGTCTGAGCGTGCCTTACTCTTCCTCCTCTGTGTGCTCTGAACAAGGATGTCTTTTTGCATTACTCGCTTTGCTCTGCATCAAAACAGACAAACTCAAGTAGGAGCTGCAATTTCTGGGCCTAATTGCCAAATGGCATGCTGTGGAGAGCCTGCTCACCCTCCAAGTGGGTGTGAGAAGCAGGACAAGGCTGGGAGTGCAGGTTTCAGGGGAGGTGTGTCAGGGTGCCTGTGGTTCCTCACCTGCAGCGCGAGCAGCCGGTGCTGCCAGTCCTGCTCCCAGCCAGTGCTCACACCGAGCACCCTCCGCCTCTGCCCTTTGCATTGACTTTGCTCTTTCTGGGCATTTCAAGGTGAGTAGCTGCAAAAAGACCCAGTGGATGTTGAGAAGAGGTCAGTTGAAAGAAATAAATGCTACTTGGCATTTCATCCAGCAGAGAGTATGGACAACACTGAGCCCGAGGACCATAGCAGAGCTGTCAGGGGTGAGCAGTAGTGAGCAAGGAGATAAGTCAGCTCCTGTTTGGATGAACAGCCCACGGGAGATCTGCTGTGGAGTGCAAACAACAGAATAAAATACAGCCAGTGTATAACAACTCCACAAGTACAGTACGGCAATTAGTGTCTTCTGCATCTGCACAGATATATGTTTTTCAGAGTCACAAGCCAGCCTCCTATGCCCTGTAAGTACAGACCTGATAAAGTGGTAAAGCTGAGACATCAGATGGAGGGAAGGGGGTTGGTTTTCTTTCACTTTTTGCAAAGATCCTGCAGAAACTTCACATGATCTTACCTCAAACTTCCATCACCAGAGTTAAAAGCACAAAGTGGTTTTGCAGCATTAGGAGGTGAAAGGCCCTCAAGGAGGGAGTGAGCTGTAGTGATAAGGGGCTGTTCCTGGGAAAGAGAAAGCTGCTGCTGAGCAGTTTAGAAGGCCTCTGTGTGTTATCTTTCCCAAACATGGGGATTTCGTTAGGGCTTAAGTTTTATTTGCACTTTCCTGCTCTCAGCTTCTGACCACAATGATTCCTGCAGCACACAGCAGAGGCCATATGATGCTTATGGACTGTTTCAACTGCTCTCTCACAGGTCTTCTTGTGATGTACCCCTCACAAATTCCTCAGTTTTCAGTCTTCAGAAGATCCTTCCTCTTTGGATATGTTTCTGAGGGAAGCTGCAGCAATTTGCAGGAGTCTGGACCGTGTTGGTCTCCTCACACCCCTTGCATTGCACGAGATATAGCCAGCATGTCCTGCTACCCCAGGAGAGGGTGTGGAAGACAACTCATCAAGCCCAGAGCCCACCCTGGCTTGGCTCACCAGGGCTTGCATTTGGAGGGTGAAGGGGGGCTAATGAGCCACAGGCCTTGTCTCAAGCCAGGGTACTAAGATGGGGAAAAATCTAGAGGGAGAAATTTGGCCCCACATAAAAAGGGGTCACCTGGGAAGTCTCTGGAGGGGACAAGGCAGCTGTGCTGGTTCTAGGTCTGTCCCAGGGAGGGCAAGCAGTCCAGGCCATTCTCCGACCCAGCCGAGGAGTCCCGGGAGGAACGGCCCTGGAGAAAGCGGATGATTTTGTCGATTGTGGCCTCCTGGTACTCGTGGGACCACCTGTGTTTGAGGGGAAAATTCTATTTAATTTTTCCGTTGTGCGAGATGTCACAAGATAGCTCAGTTCATTTGGGACAGGAGCCACAGAACCCCTTCCTCCACCCCAGGTCCCTAGGAGGACCCCTTTTCCCTCTGAAAAATGGAGGAACACTGGCTGCCGAAGGAAAGCCCCTTCCCCTGTGCCCTGCCAGGCTGGAGGGCTACGGGCAGGTTGGGATGCCAGCCCGGGATGCTGCTGCATAGAGGGGGAGCAGGAAGTAAGAAGAACCCAGGTGAGCTGCAAAACTGGCCAGCATCACTCCTGCCTGGAGGGCTGGGGCCACGAGGATGGGCGTCCTCCCAGCAGCGGTGGGGTGGGAAGCTCTGTTACCCAGAGGAGCCCCCAGCACAAGAACAGCAGAAGGGTTATGGTGGGGACCTTTGTTCCCTTCATGCTCTAGAGTACCTGAAGTGACTCACCGCCCCTTTGGCCTGTTCTGCCTCCCTCATCTGATTCTCCCAATTTCCATGTGCTCTTTGCTACTGCTTATGCAAGAAGTTCTCTCCAGACGTCAAGGAACCCCTTGGTTTCTTTTACTTACTTGATACCATTAAATTTCAGGACAGCCCTCATGTCCTTGGGAAGTGTTTCTGGGTCCGGCCACTCAAAGTGGTCTGTAACAGGTACAATGTTCTTTCCAGAGCTCAGGGCTGTCACAATCTCCTGCAGGAACATACAAATGCTCAGGCTACGGCCCGTGTCAGCCCATCACCAGCCCCTTCCTGCTCCACCATCCACCAAGCTCCCACCCGATGGCATCTCCTACCTTGTGCACCCAGTCCTTGCACTCGGGGTCTCCCATGCATTTATCCAGCGCGTTTGGCGAGAGGACCAGAACGAAATTGCGGGCACTCATGACACTCTGGATCAACTTGTCCTCAAACTTCCCTGCCTCTAGCTTCTCCACATCAATGAACACGCTGAAGCCGTGCAGCTGCAGGTGGACCTTCAGCAGGCTGGCGGCGAGAGGAGACAGCACCGTGAGGAGAGCTACTGTCTGGGTTTCCCACCACATCAGCCAAGACATGGTGAGCTGGAGGAGCAGTGAACGGGCTCCCTCAGAGAACAGAATGGTCCTGGAGATGCCGGCTGCCAGCCCAGCCTGCTTACAGGTGTTGGGCCCATGCAGAAAACAGGGGGAGCAGGACAGGCACCAGGGAAGGTTTAGATGGGGTATTAGGAAAAATTTCTTCACTGAAAGGGTTGTCAAGCACTGAAAGAGGCTGCCCAGGGGAGTGGCTGAGTTACCATCCCTGGAGGTATTTAAAATATATGTAGATGTGGCACTTAGGGAGATGGTTTAGTGGTGGACTTGGAAGTGCTGGGTTAACTGTTGGACTCAACGATCTTAAAGGTCTTTTCCAACCCAAATGATTCTGATTAACTCTCTGTTGTGATCCCCTACAGCCCTACAAGCACAACATGAGAAAAAGGTAAGCCAGTGTCTAAGATGGACAGGGTGGCAGTGACAGGACTGGGAATTAGCCTGTCCACTGGGCAGCTTATGGCATGTGCTGTCCCCGTTTGCACGGCAGCTTTTGGCAACCACTCCCTTCTCTCTGCTGCAGCTCTCCTGGCTCTGCACTCTTCCCACCAGCCTTCACTCTGGGCTTCAGCCCAGCATCATAATGTTGCCTGCAAGACTCACCTGGCCAGCTGCGACCCAGTGCTCCTCCGGTAGCTGATAAATACGTCAGTCCCATCGGATGCAGTTTGCAGCGTTATAGGGGAGTGAAGCATTTCTAGGCAGAGCAAACGGCAACCAAAAGTTAAAAATACCCAACAGCTCATCCCAAATAACCCTCGGTACTCATCCCCACCCGCCTGCTCCGGCGCAGCAATCGGCAGCGGGACCCGCACCCCTTGCAGCAGTGAGGATGCGGACGCGGTGGAAACCCGTGTTGATGTGACAGTCCTCCTGCAGCTGCTGCTCCGTCACCCGGTGCAAGAAGTTGCGGTTGATGCCGCATGTCAGCAGGTTGTATGTGTACTGGCGAAACTTGGGGTCGATGCCGCCCAGCCAGTCGGCCAGGTTGCTGCGGTCGCAGGTGGAATAGTTGGCGAAGGTCTTCAGCTCTGTCAGCTCCCGGAAAAACCTGGCAGAGAAACAAATGAAAGCGTGGAGCAGAGAGGGGGAGGCTGCTGGACCAGGCAGGACCTAGAGACATTTGGTACAGCATCTTTTATCTGCACAGGAGACAGTGCAGGTACATGTAGTGGTGAAGAATGAGCTGAAGGAATAGAAAAAAAGAAGAATAGCTGTGTGACTGCAGGAGTGTTGGTCCTCAGGACACAGAGGTGTGAGGGGCTCAGCTAAGGGACGAGGAGCTCAGGTAAGTTCCCACCTTTCTGGGTAAGTTGCAGGATCCCATCTCCCTCGTGCCATAGGTTGTCTCTCCCCATCCCACACCCCTCCTGGATATTGGCCCCATTTCAGGAATCGTGGGACCACATACTGCACTTGAGAAGCCCTGCCAGTCCAGGTTTTGCATTTTGAGGATCTCTGCTCCTGTTTATGCAAGAAGGGAAAGGCACAGACCTTTTCCCTGGCTCTCATGGCATGACCCATCATCATGATGATGACCATGAGAGAGGCCAGCGTGGCCTGGGGGCAGTCCTACCTTTTCCGAGTGATGCTGGAGTCCATCCCCAAATCCTCCTGCAGCTCCTCCTCTGTTAGCCTCAGGAGAATGTCCCCATCCACCTGATGGTCCTGCCAAGAGAAATCCAGGCTGGAAAGGTCCCAGGAAAAGCTGCTGGGTGAGATGCTCACACCTCTGCTGCAAGATGGGGCAAAAGGGCCCGTCTGGGTGTCCCTCCCCCAGCACGCAGCCCTACCAGAAAGCTCTGGCAGTATTTGTTGAATCCGATCTGCTGCAGCCACGTCTGCACCTCACAGGGCTTCCAGTTGGGAACTGTGGGCAGGATGCGCCGAGGAACCTCCTCCCCTATCATGCGCAGCACCTTCTTGGCCAGAGAGGAGGTGGTGCTGCTGGTGGAGTAGCACACTACCCTCTTCAGGCTCTGCGTAGCCCCAGTCTCACTGAAAATCTGGGGACACAAAGTGGGAAGACATCACGTTGCTTTCCCTCTTCCTCCCCACAACCTGTGCCAGGCCAGCTGAGGACCGGGATACTTGGTGAGCTCACAGGGGAGCAAAAGACACCGAGCTGCAGCGGTGGCAACCCGCAACCCTTCCCTTTTGCACCTCCTTCCTTCAGGCCAATCTACCCTTTACCTTTGTGTTCTTCTGCCTGGTTTTGATGGCAGCCTCCGTGCAGAGGTAGAAGGCAGCGATGCACTGTGCCTCCAGCCGCGAGCTGTCCAGCAAGGGTACCAGCCGCTGCAGGTCGTCCGCCGTCCTCCCCTGGCTGTTGTCACTGCTGCCCAACATCTCGCAGGCGAACTGCTCTGGGTCCAGCGAGGCGATGAACGGCTCCACCAGAGCCAGAGTCCCCGAGCGCTCCACCTCCTTCTCGATTTCTTTGTTGGTGGCCAGCACCGTGATGGCCAGGCACGCGTGCAGGCGGATTAGTTCGTCGTCTCTTGAGAACACCAGTGGGAAAAGCCACTCCGCCGTCCTCTTCTCGATCATCAGGCGCTGGTTGGCCTGCCCTCCGTACATGGCACAGTTGGCCAAGGCCATGGCGCAGTGCCGCAGCACAACGGGGTCCGTCCAGCGGCACCAGTAGAGGATAGCATCCAGGCCTCCATCAGAGATGAGCTGGAAACAGGTCTCCTCGGTGTGTTTGAACATGTGCTCCAGGATACCGGAGACACTCTGTGCCAGCTGGGGAATATCTCGCTCCTTGGTTAAGTTCAGAATCACTCCCAGACCGATCCGAGCGATCCGATCCCTGCAGGAAGGAGAGTCATAGGCAGGTGAGGGGCAGACGGCCGTGCAGGGAGTGACGGCGGTGACTGGCGTGTGGACTCCCCCGTGCTTCGGTGGCATTTGCCCCATGGCAGTTTCCCTGTGGGACACGGCTGCCAGATAGGCTTCCAGGCTGCGATGCAATGAGATGCGAGGGGCTGGTGTTGGAAGAACCTGTCTGGGTCTGATGGAAGGGCTTGTGATGGCACAGGACATGGGGGGCAGAGCCCATGGCCACCACACCAGAGGCTCTCGTGCTCAAGGTAAGACGTACATAGCAATGAACAGCTCAGGGTAGGCTGATGCCAGGCTAGAAATAGATCTGCTTAGTCAGCTTTGCTGGGGGTGTGTGAGCTGATTTGTGTTTGGGGGTGAAAATTCGTTTGTCCCTAACCAGTGCTGTCCTCTGGCTGCTCTCCGGATTGGTGCCAAGCCCAGGACAGGGGTTTCACACCTGGCTGAGGAACCACGCAGAACTGGCCACGTGGGCATGTGAGAGATGGGGATCTGCCTGTCCTGGGATGGCAGCGTGGAGGCAGAAAAGCTGTTTTATTTCCTCAATCTTGTGGGCTCCTGGTGGAGGACAGCAAGAGCCTGGAGGCAGGCGGCCAAGAGCCACCAGCTGCTGTTCGGCCATGGCTGGCCTTGGGAGCTCCGTGATGTGAGGATGGTCTTAAAATAACACCTGAATGGGGCTGTGCCCTAAAAGCATCATGTGAGGAAGGGGGAAATGATGGGCTCTTGGCCATGAGCTTGCCTGGGGCAAGGGAGCATCTCCATCTCTGACCTCAGAAATGACCCGTTTGGTGCCATGATGGAGTGGTTTCGTTCACAAGGCACATGAGGTGGATGCCCCACGCCGTGCTACTCGTAAGGGCAGTGGGGTGTTTGGCCTCTGGCGATGGTGGGGGTGAAGGCACACCAGCCTTTCAGTGCTGGCAGATGGGAAGAGCATTTCTGGGAAGCCTGTGGCCTGCATGGCTCATGCTGACCTTGGGGTGGGTTTGGCAGCAAATGCTGTGGAGAGCTCTGGAAAAAAAACGCCTTCAGCCTGGGACTGGCTCCGAGCCCAGACTCAGCCAGGGAGCTGGATGACAAACACAGCCCTGCCACGTCCCCGACTCCCCGCAGCCACGGGATGGAGCCAGGACCAGTCCAACTCCTGGCTAAGCATCACTGCTGCTGCACACAGATGCTGGGAGAGGTCTCTAAGCCAGAGGCTTGGACCCAGGGGGGACGCTATATCTGCCTGCCATTGCTTGGAGGCTTATGGTGGGTCAGGGTGTGGAGAGCAAGGGGCTGGGGGCCCATGGCTGCTCCAGGACCCAGGTCCATGAACTGCTCCTGGAGCAGAGATGGAGACTCCAGCAGCTGCTTTCTCTTGCCAGGAAGCTAAATGCTCAATTCAGACTGTGCCAGTGATGCTTCCTGGGATTAATTCCACTCTAATGGACTTTCCTGATTTAGCTGTTGCTTCTTTTTGCCTGCCAGTGCATGCAGCAAAGCCCAGGCTGCGAGTTCACAACCTTACAGCTAGACACATCGCCCAGGAAGCTGGAGCAAGACCATAAACGTTGGCCAGGCTTCCCCCACACATGCCCAAAGCTCTGTCTGGGGCTGGCTGGGGCTTGAGTGCACCAAGGGAGAGCAGAGCTGGCAGAGCCACATGTTTGCTGAGGGGTTCCAGAGGGGAAAGGCCTGATCCTGACCCAGAGGCGTACGGCTCCTCTCTGGGACTGGCACGCTGCAGGCGGTGCTGCTGGGGTGTGCTGAACCAGCCATGGGGCAGAGCAGAGAGTTTGCATGTTGGGGGGGTGTGGGCCTCGCTCCAGCCCTGCTCAGCAGCAGAAAGTCTCTGGGAACTGGCTTTGTCCTCCTCCTGCTACGGTTTTGTCTGAGAGGGGAGTCATGTCTCATCCTTGGGGTCAGATGCTCTGGGCTGCCCAAACCAACTCAGCTCAACCACAAAGCTGGGGCTTGTCTGGGTGGCCCCCAGGTTGAGGGTGGCTTGTGAGGACACCCCGATCCTCACCCCAGCATCCTTGAGCTGGGGCTGGTCCTCTTCCCTCCAGCTGTGGTGGGGGGGGGCAGGTCATGCCATTGTCTGGGTGTGCCCAGCAAGTCAGGGACCCCTCTGTGCACGTGCTGGGATGTGGTGTGGAGCTGGGGGGGGGGGTGGGGTGGGGTGGGGTGGTTTGATGCACCGGCAGCACCCAAAGCATGGACATTTGTTGGGTGTGGGAGGGATGGGTGGAGGAAATCCCTGCTGTGCTTGGGGTGACAGGCGAGCCTGCAGTGGGGAGGGCTGTGCCTGGTTTGGGGGAGGGGGGGATTGTTTGAAAACTCACCTGTTTTCTGCCACCAGGATCTGCTCCAGGAGTTTTCCTGCCTGGCATTTGGTCTCCAGCTCTGCCGTGTACAGCAGGTTCAGGAGCAGATCCAGGCCCCCCTCCAGGCGGATCACGTCGCACAGCACTTTGGCCACGTCCCTCCCCAGCGTGGGCATCCCCCAGGCTTCCTCCACCAGCTGGAAGACTTCGGTGATGGCCTTCCTCAGCTCCGCGGGGCCAGCCGGCTTCTTGGCGTGGGCGATGGCCTGGTGCAGGGCGGGCAGGATCCGGTCCAGGGCTGCCCGAACGTCCGTGTTCACCCCAGGGGAAACCTCCCGGTGCTCCCTGGAGCTGCCCCCGCCTGCCCAGCTGCCCGCTTGGCTCACACACTCGGGCACCGTCAGCCTCTCCGCACCCGCCATGGCGATGAACCGGCACAGTTTATAGAGGGAGACGAGCAGGGTGAGCACCATCGGCATCTCCTAGCGCAGCATCCTTGGTCACCCGCCCACCGGCAGCACCCGGCCAGGGCCACCACGCTCCTTGGCGGGGACCGAAGTGACCGGAGGGAAGGGACAGGAGGGGGGGACGGAGCTGGCGGGGCGGGGGGGTCCAGCCGCAGGGCTGGGCTGCCAGCTCCCTCTCCCCTCCCTGCCCTGCTGGGATGCGGAGCTGGAAGCGGTGGCAGGAGCCGCTTTCTCAGAGCCAGGCTCAGCATCTCGGGTCCTCAGGGGCTGATGTCACCCCGCGCAGGCGCCGCCTCTCAAGGAGGGGCTCATCTCTGGGCAGCAGCATCCCCCTCCTCGCTGCAGATGCTCTGGCAGACCCCCAGACCCCTCCTTCCACAGCCCTCTGCCTGCCCAGCCTGAGCTAGGGCTTGTCTTGGTGTCCCTATGTCCCATGTCCCGTCCCCCCCTCCCTTGCCTGGGCTGCTGGGGAGGCTGTGGTCACCTCCACAGCAGGCAGGGACCCCCACTCTGCTTTTGCAGCAGGTCTCTCCGGGACCCTCTGCGACTGGTGACGGGGACACAGGCTGGAAGTAAAGGGTCAGGCACCGTGGTGGCCATGGCCGTGGTCACGGTGAGGTTGTGGCCATCCTGGCACTGCATTTTGAACCCATTTGGTGCCAGTGCAGAGGATTAAATAACTGCCTTTGAGTGGTGGAAATTCAGAGCAGCTCTTCTGGGTGGGCTCAGGATTTGCATGATAAAAGAAAGAGCAGAGGCAGCCTGGGCCCCTTTTATTTTCTTTTTTCCAGGCCAGACGTGCTTAGGGCAGAAATGCTTTGGACACTTCTCGACTGTGTTGGGGAGGAGCAGCTTAAGTCTTTGGCTCCAAAACCAGCTTGTTGCCAGCTCAGACTGAGACTTAAATTCAAGTTGATGTTTTGATGTGACGGAGTCGCTTTTAATCCTCTCTGAATCCACTACACAGGGACAGAGAGAGGAAAGGGACATCAGCTCACAGCGAAGGACAGCAGACAAGGCGACCCAAGCAGCACAGTACTGCAGGAGAGGCTTGGCACAGAACCAGTAAGGATTTTCATGATAAATTATTATTAAGCAGGGGTAATGATATGGGGCTATTGCAATGCAGCACAGCAGAGGGGTTTGCTGCTTTGGAGGAGGCAGGGGGGTCAGAATTCAAACCATTCCCTTAGGCTTGTCCTGACAAACCCAGAGAGCTGAGCTTTGCTTTTCTTTTAGTTTTGCTTTGCTTTGCTTTTTGAGAGGGATTTCCAGCACCATCAGCCTGGGCTCTGGGAATGGCAGGGCTTCCCAGCCTTGCCCTGGGGGGATCAGCCCCATCCCCTGAGCTCTTCTCCCTGGCTTTGCTCAACCCTTGGCTGCAAGGGCTCCCCAGGGCCCCTGTTACCCAAACCAGCCCCTCTTCTGGGGTCTCATCCTGCCGTGCTTTGAGCACAGCAGTCAGGGGAGGGCTCGCCGAGCCTTGATGGGTCTGTGGTCGCTGGTGGTTGGGAGCCTGGCGCAGCAGGAGGGAGCTTTGTCTCAGCCGATCAGCAAAAGCAGCTCAGCCACTGCCCAGAGCTTCTCTGCCCCTGCCTCCCCGCAAGCCTGCACCCTCTCAGGGTGCTTGTCCCCCCATGCTCGATTCAACAGGGATGGGATGAAGCTTTAGTGCAACTCTGGGCTGGTGCTTTGACCCGGGGATGTCACCAGCTCCACCATAGCTGAGGCCAGGGGGTAAGGAGTGGGGTGACGGAGCTGCAGGAGAAGTCCTGCCCCAGCAGTCCACGTCTGGTGGCTGCCCTTGGCTCATCGGGGTTTTCCAGGTAGAAATGCCTTTCTCAACACCAAATCAAAGCTCTTTCCAGCAAGGATGGGAGCAGCCGACGCTGAGAATTCCCTGTTTCCAAGCTGGCAGAGGTGAGGCCCCTGGAGAAGCAGGAACGCCGCTCTGGTTCTTCTCTCCCCAAATATTCCATCACTTATTAAAGCCCAGAGCTGTGCTGCTCCTGCCGTGGGGCTGGGACGGACCCCACGGAGCTCCTGCCCCAGCAGTGCCACAGCAGCTGGAGGCAGTATCTCTGTAGCCTCATGCTCATTTGCTCCTTGCCCCTGATTAAATAAACATCCTGGAGTTATCAGAAGCTGCCGAAAGAGCTGAGTCAACATTAATTAGTAACCAAAAAGATTGGTCAGAAAGGGAATGATGGGAACAAAACACACAGGCTTTTGTTTGCCTACCGCAGTGAAAGTGCAGAGGGTTCCCGCTCTCCCTCCCGGCCGCTCACCTCTGGCCCCTGGTCCCCGTGCACAGAGGTGGCACTTGCCCCATCCCAAGCTGCCATGCCTTGGGGCTCCCCAGCTCTGCTCCCATTGAGAAAGCTGAAATCCCAAGGCCAAGTCCTCCAAAATGGTGACCTTTTGGGCAAGCATAAGCCTAGGGCTTTTCCCTGTGCTCTCTGAGCATCCCAATCCCCTCTCATTAGGTTTTTTGTCTTGCCAAGACCAGGCTGAGAAACAGCCTCCCCTTAAGATGGATGCTGGGAGCTTGAATACCATGAGATTTGCTGTGAAATAAGTGTTCCAGGACCTCAAAGCTGATTGCTGGCGCTGGCCTGCTGTCCCCTGCTGCTCTCTGAACCAGTGCCCAGCCTGCACCCGGGCTGGGAAGGCGCTGGCAGCAAAGGCACAGCCAGCAGCCCCCAGAGCTGCCTGCAAGCTTGGGGAGCCCTGTCCCCGCTCCCAGACGCACCCAGCTCGATACAGACTGCGAGGGATGCTGGATGGGAGAGTGTCTCTGCCCCTTTTCCCCTGCTCTGACCTTGGCCTGTTTGTTTTCTCCCACCGGGGCAGGCTTGAGCAAACAGTGGATGCCGGGGCCCCGGCCACAGCCACGCTCCAGCCCGCACAGTCGTAGGAGGGCTGAGCTCCCGGCCGCCAAGGATGAGGCTGCTCTTCCCTGCCCTCGTGCTGGCCCTCCTCGCCATCGCCCGTGCTGCTGAAGGTGAGCCGGAGCCGGCCAGCCCCACACCGGGGGCCTCCCACTTGCAGCCAGGGTGGGGATGGAGCGAGTGCGGCTCCTGAGCTGATGGAGGGGTTGGGGAGCCTGGGCAGGGTGAGGAGGGGACCAGGTGGTGGCCATGGCCACTGGCCACATTGGCTACGCCTCACAGCATGGGGGGATGGCAAGCAGGCAGCAGGGATCGGTGGTGCCTGGGCAAATCCCTGGCTATCCTGGGGCTGGACAGCCAGCATGGAGCTGGGACCCTGGCACAGCCCGGGCCGTGGCTCCCATCCCAGCAGGACCTGGGTGGGAGTGGGGAGAGGTGCCGCTGTAGCCCCTGGTGATGGGGTTGACCATGGACAGAGGTGGGGTCCCGCTAACCAAGACGTGCCTGAGTTTGTTTTCACCCTCAGGGCTGGGCTGGGGGGTGGGAGTGGGGCCACCGGCCCCACTGCCCACCCCACGTTATTCCTCCTGCGCTGGTGGGTGGCTTTTGCAGAATCCTGCGTGGGCCGCTGCGAGGAGGAGTTCAACGCGCAGCACAAGTGCCAGTGTGACCCTCTCTGCCTGTACTACCAGAGCTGTTGCAGCGACTACTCCACTGTCTGCAAAACCAAAGGTACCAGCCCCACGGCCCCACTCCCAGCTGGGGTGGGGGCTGACGGGGTGGCTGCAGGGGCTCGGAGGGACCTATGCTGAGTCAGCTCTGCACCCACCCGTGTCCGCAGGGTAAAGTCAGCACCAGGGTTTGGTGCTTAGGGTGCTGCAGCACTGGGGGGGTTTCCGCAGCCCTCAGCGTGGGGTCTGTGCAAGTCTGTAGTGCCTGGGAGCAGCAGCTCCCACACCCAGACCCAGTGGGAGATGCCCAGGGCTCCCCAGGCTCAACCTGCTCCCTCCCGCAGTGACCCGGGGAGATGTGTTTGCCTTGCCGGAGGACGACTACCTTGACTACAACCTCACTGTCGAGTTCGTCACAACAGAAAGCACCGAGGAAGCCCCCACAGAACTGCCCACCTCCCTGTCGCCGGCACAGCCCACGCTGGAGAACAAGGCGACAGAGGTGCCCGTGGAGGAGGTGCCCAGCACCACACCAGATAGGTTCGGGGAGCAGGAACCCGTGGAGGAGCCTGAGGAGCTGTGCAGCAGGAAACCTTTTGATGCCTTCACCGACCTGAAGAACGGTTCCCTTTATACTTTCCGAGGTACCTTGGGGACCTTTCCCAGGCACATGGGACATGCTGCTGTGCTGTCACTCCGGGCCGGTGGCTGTGATCCCTCCTGCCGCTCCCACCTCCCCTCTCTCCCCAGGGAAGTATTTCTATGAGCTGGATGAGACAAGCGTGCGGCCCGGCTACCCCAAGCTCATCAGCGACATCTGGGGCATCGAGGGTCCCATTGATGCAGCCTTCACACGCATCAACTGCCAGGGGAAGACTTACCTGTTCAAGGTGGGCAGGAGCCAGGTCAGATGGCCCCCCCCCCCCAGTGCACTCTGTCCCCACGAAGTGCACTCTGTCCCCACCCCACCCCGGCACCCTCCATGCACACACACACACACGCAGTGGCTGCCAGATAGCCCCACATTTCTGTGGCTGTCCGGAGCGCCAGGCAACCACAGCCTCACCACAGGGCTCCACGGCATCTGCTCGCTCCCCCCAGCAGACCCACGCCTGGGGGATGCTGCACCCAGCTCCTTGACCCCCTCCTCTGTCCCACACCCCCCAGGGCAGCCAGTATTGGCGCTTTGATGACGGAGCCCTGGACCCCGGGTACCCACGCAGCATCTCCGAGGGCTTTGAAGGCATCCCAGACAATGTTGACGCAGCCTTCGCCCTCCCCGCGCACAGCTACCATGGCAATGAGAGAGTCTATTTCTTCAAGGGTAAGGGGCACGGCCTCCCACTCCCGGGCACCAGTGGCCGTGGGCAGGACACCCCTCTAGCTACCCTGCCCCCTTGAGTGCATGGCCCCCACTAACACCCTGTGCATCCTCTCCTAGACAAGTACTACTGGTCCTATGACTTCGCCCACCAGCCCACGCAGGCCGACTGCGAGAAGTCCTCCCCCTCTGCCGTGTTCAACCACTACGCCTTCATGAACCGTGACAGCTGGGAGGACATCTTCCAGATCCTCTTCGGCGGCAGGATGAGTAAGGGCTGGGCCAGCCCCGGGGGAAAGGGCCAGTGAGTGCCAATATAGCCCACAGTGACGGGGTGCGAGGGGTGCAGGCACCCCAGGGAGGAGGGAGCGATGCCTGGGGGTGTGGGCAGGCTGGATGAGCCACCGTGCCGGGCAGCAGACCCGGCTTTGCACAGGAATCCCTCCGGCCATGGCTGCATCTCCCACAGCACCCCAAATCCCACCCTCTGCAGCCCTTATGCCCCCCACTACCGAGCCCGTCAGCAGCCATCTCGCACCACAGTGTCACCGCCGGGGACTGTTTATTCCCACCGGAGCTGGAGATGCCATAAGAAAACCCCAGCCCTGGGCACGAGAAATTAAAGATGGAGAGGAGGAGGAGGAGGGGGCTCAGCAGCACAGGGCTGATCCCAGCCATGGGTGGGGAGAGGGGGCTGCTCCCAGCTCTGCCTGGCCTGTGTCCCCATCACGCATCCCATCCAGGCTGGGATCCTTTGGAGCGTCCCTGGGGGTCCCGGAGCGGGTGCTGGGGGGTGCCCGGGCTCAGCTCACCCCCAGACGTTGCTGCCCCTCTCGCTCACCCTCTGCCCCTGTGCCAGCCGGGGCGAGCAGCCCACAGTACATCAGCAAAGACTGGCGGGGGGTGCCCAGCCGGCTGGATGCCGCCATGGCCGGCAGGATCTACGTGGCCTCCCACAAGCCTCGGAGGAGAAAGTCTCGCCGCCAGCGCAAGAGGTACAAGAGCCACCGGTCACTGAATTTGGGTTTCTGGAGCTGGCTGCAAAACGACTCTGACTCTGCGGGTGTTGAAAGCGACTGGCTGTCAGGCTCCCAGTGCGAGACCCTCCAGAGCGTCTACTTCTTTGTAGGAGGTGAGTGTGGAGCAGCAGGACACGGGAGAGATGCAGAACCAGGGCTGCTGGGATGGGGGGAGGCCTCCTCTCGCCCTGTGACGTCCCTGAACTCCGGGATGCAGCGGGAAGGTGCCCAGGGCTGGCAGCGAGGGCTGGCAGCTCCCTGGAATTCGTGGGCAGGCCTGACAGCCATCTCCCCTTCCTCCCAGACAAGTACTACCGCGTCAACCTGCGCACCAAGCGCGTGGACCTGGTGCAGCCCCGCTACCCGCGCTCCATCGCCCAGTACTGGCTGGACTGCCCGCAGCCCGGGGAGGAGAGCACCTAAGAGGGCCCCGCCGGAGCCGCCCTGCAGCACAGCCCTTAGTTAGACAAAAATAAACTGTGAGCGCTGTGCAGGCTGCAGAGCCCTGGCTGTCCATCCATCCGTCCATCCCGTGGTCTGCGCAGTCCTTGTAGTCCGAGATGCCCGCGCCCCCGAGGGTTGTGGTTGTCCCCACAGGTATAATAACTGTGCGTGGGCTGTGCCAGATCCCCAGCTGGCCCCGTCCCCGGTGTGGCTGCTGCTACTCAGATCTGCTCCACCAGCCAGTCCGGTGCCTCTTCCCACTGGAGGAGAGGGACGGTGCCGGCGGCTGCCAGCCGGGAGTCAACGGGGTCAGGTCCACAGCACCCTGTGTGAGCGGCTGGGCTCGGGATGGGTGCCCAACCCCACGGGATCCCAGCCGAGGCACTGCCTGGCCTCCCCCCACCGCCCCGCTCACCTCTTGGCTCCGGCAATCCTGGCCAAGGCGGTGCCGAGGGGATGACCCTTCCCTCGGGGCTAGGACAGCGCTTGGAGCCTGGCAGCTCTCGGCGGACTGGGTGCCGCTGAGAGGAGCTCCTGCCCCGGCTCCTGCCGTGAGGACACATGAACAAAACCTGACCCACTTCCCCCCCACCCCCTCTATTGCCCCAGGGGCTTCCTGAGCTGCAGCTGATGCCCACGGGGGTGGCCTCAGGCCCAGGTGCTCACCGCTTCCCCTGGTGCGGCTGGGGGTGCCCAGGGAGCTGATGGGAGCCGGGCAGAGCCATGTCCTCCTGGCTGGGTGGCAGGACACCAACGCTTCCGTCGGGGGGGACCGGCTGCGGTGCAGGGGGCCCTGGCAGCACCTGGGGGTGAGCCGAGGGGTCAGGCTGCTGTGCCGTGCTGTGCCACCCCTCTACAGAGAGACCCCTGGGGCCGTACCTGGGACACGATGGCATCGGCCAGCCCGGGGCAGCACTGGGGGCAGCCGGGGCGGCCGGAGGTGGGAGGCAGCTTCTGCAAGAGGGGGTGACAGCGGGTGGGTGGTTTGTCACCCTGCCGTGGGCACAGCCCCACGTGAGGCTGCCCGTGGAGCCCAGGGTCCCCCACACTCACCAACAGCCGGGGGCCAGAGCCGGGTGTTGTGTCAGGCTGCCGGAGCCTCGCAGGGTGGCCTGGGGGGACACGGGGGGTGTGGGCACTCTGGAGCGGAGGCTGGCTGTCACAGGAGCTGCGGGTGGCTCTGCAGGATGGGCCAGCTGGGATGTCACCGCTTGGGTCTGGGGACAGCCGGGGCTGCCTGGGGAGCAGGGCAGGGTGAACTTCTGAGCCCTGCCCAGCCCCAGGGAGTCCCTAGGAGAGGCTGGGTGACACAGGGTGCTGCCTGGCCGGGGGCTCTGGCCGCCCCACCGGTACCTTGAGCCCCTGCTCATGGATCCTGCACGTGTCCCCCCCTGTACCTCAGCTGCTCGTTCTCCACCACAAAGTCCCGTAGGAGGCCGTAGAGGCTGGGCCAGGCTGGGGCTCCCTCCGACGGGAGCTGCCCTTCGAGTGGGGAGCAACGTAGCCCTGTGGGGCCGTACCTGCCTCCCCAGCCCAGCCATGCCCCAGCCCTCGGGGGCGTCGCCGGGACCTCTGTGGTCCTCACTGGCACCCTGGGCAGGCACAGCTGCTGGCGCAGGGAGAGGTTTTCCAGTTGCAGGGCGTGGATTTCTTCCTTCAAGGTTTGCAGCAGCTTCTCCCGGGACACCTGAGAGCACAAAGGGGTGGCTCAGGGGGTCCCAGTCGTGGGGCAGAGCACCCTGCCCGCAGCCCCCGCCTGCTATACCCTGTTGACCAGGGGCCTGGTGGTGACCCTCCGGGCCCGGCTGGCGTAGTGCAGCGTGCTCAGCGTCTCCGAGAGGCAGCGCGAGGACGGGGAGATGCAGGCAACCTGCCGATGGGGGAAGAGCCGCAGGTGAGCTGCCAGCTTAGGGGGTCACCCAGCCCCCCTCCAGCAACTTCCCCTCCACAGGGCGAGACCCCAGCTCCCCGTGGCTTTGTGCACCCCTGCTCAGCCGCTTCGGTGCACGTACCATCAGGGTGACGCCCGAGCCACCCAGGGAGCGGGCCAGCAGCCGGGTGAGCTTGCTGTCTCGGTAGGGGATGTGCGTCCGCTTCCCTCGGGGTTTGGCCAACAGAGAAATGCAGTGTCCTGCCAGAGGATGACGCACAGAGGGTGCAGCAGGGCTCTGACAGGGACCAGCAGCTCGTGCTCCCATAGATGGGGAGGGGAGGAGTCCCCCCTGACTCTTACCCAGTGCCAGGAGGCTGCGGTTGATGTTGTTGGCCTCCACGGAGAGCTCCCCGCTGGAGCCGGTCTCCTTCACCCGCTCGCTGCCGGCCAGGTCCACAAAGCACAGCGTGCCCTGCTTGCTGGGGCAGGCACTGGGCTGGGGGACCTGTGTTGGGGGCGGCGGGGGGTGGGGTGATGCTCTGTCCCCCCTCGCCCCTTCCTCGTGGCCCACAGCAGTCTCTCAACCCCTCAGTCTGGGACCTGGCTCCCTGCTGCTCGCCCCAGCCCTACCAAGGGATCCCTGGGGAGGAGGATGTGACCCTTCCACCTTGCGGCTGTTTGCACCCCCACGGAGAGCCCCAGCCCCCCCAAGCCCTCCCCCCTAGAGCAGGACGTGCGCTCACGGCCCGGCTGCGGATGTGGATGGTCAGAAGAGCGTGGCTGCGGCTCGAGTGCCTGTTGAGGGCGTGCGCCGAGGTCCGTCGCCTCTGGGATCCTGCTGGCAGGGAGCGATTGAGAGCTGCAGGGGGGGCACAATGCCCCCCACCCCAGCATGGCACCCACTGCCCACCCCCTGCCAGACACAAGCCTGCCTGGGCTCTGCGGCAGGATGGGGAGCAGCTGCCCCTCTTGGCTACCACTGGAGCCCCACCAGCCCCAGGGACGGTCTGTGGAGGGGTTGAGTGCCCCTATACTGGGCCTGGCACCCTCTGAACATGGCCCAGCCCTGCGCCTGTAGCTCAGCACCTTGCAGGAGCAGGTTGGCGATGGCATCCAGGCTCTCGAAGTCCACGCTGAGCTGGTTCTCCACGTAGAAGCCACGGGTTTTGCTCCACCGCAGGGGCAGGGTGCATGGTGGCCCGGGGCTTAGCAGGTCCCGGACCTGGGGGGGGGTACGGTAGAGGGGTGGCATCAGGGGAGAGGGGGAATGTGCCAGTGGGGCCAGGCTGGGTGGTCAGGCAGACGCAAACCTGCTCGTTGTAAATCTCCAGGTAGGAGGCACTGAGAGCCAGGTCAGAGCCGCGGCTCCGGCTCTGCTCCAGGAGGCAGGCGAAGGACCTCTGCATCAGCCCCAGCAGAGCCGGGGATGCCGGCTGGGTCTCGCTCTGCAGAAATGTCACGACGGTGAGCACTCACACCGCGCCAGGCACCCACCTCCTCCCGCCACCCCGGTGCCTGTTACCAGGTGAGAAGAGCCCACCCCACCATCAGGTCAGGGTCGGGGGCAGCGTTGTACCTGGGCGAGGGGTCCCATCAGGGTGTAGGTCTTCCCCGAGCCGGTCTGCCCGAAGGCAAAGACGGTGCAGGAGAAGCTGGGGAAGATGCTGAGCCTCAGGCACGGCTCCAGGCAGTGGCACAGGGATGCCACCTCCCGGCACGGCCCCGGCAATACAGACCCACCGCTGAGGCCTGGAGGGGTGCAGCGCAGCGGGCGCGGGGTGAGCTGGAGGGTTGGGGTCTGCGGGGGGGGGGCTTGCTGGGACTCACCCGTCTATCGCCAGCTCCACCAGCTGCCTCATCCCACTGCCTTCGAACACGGCCTCCTGTGAGGCCCCAGCATCGAACACGGCGCTGAACCCGAAGGTGGCATCGTGCCTGGCTGCGCTCACCTGGGCACGGGGGGCGGCGGTGGCTCAGGGGGTGCCACAGCCCACCCCCGGACCCCAGCGGGGAGGAGGTGGCACTTACGTGGACGGTGTCATCGCCGAGGCTGCGCACAACCTGCCGGTCACCTCGCCGTGTCTCCGTGCAGGTCAGTGGCCGGACCCTAATGGTGGTGGGGGGGGTGTGGACGGGGGACACAGAGGTGTCGCTGCATGGGGACCCCGGAGAGCCCCGCTGTGCCACTTCTCTGGAGCAGGAGGGTCCCCGCTGTGTCCCCGAGCCCTTCGTGTCCCCCCTTACCTCAGCACCACTCTCAGGCGTGTCTCTCTGCCCGCCCGCTCCTCTCCAGGGCTCCTTTGGGGAACAGAGGGCAGAGGGGTGGTAGGTGCCCCCCATCTGGGGGACATGCCCTCAGGCTCCCCAGGGGACGGGGCAGAGGGGCCCATGGTCATGCTGTGCTCACGCCGTCCTCCCGTCCCCACTGTGCCCTGGGGCCTGGCAGGGGACAGAGTGCAACGTCCCCAGATGTCCCCGCAGAGGGACTGCCCTGTCGCCCCCCCCCCCAGCCTTTCTGGGGTGTCAGTCCCCCACCGGCTGGTCCCTGCCCAGCCTGCTTTCAGGTGGCCTCTGTCCCCTCCAGCTCCCCATCGACTTACGGTCTCTCCTGGCCCCGTGGGGGTCTCTCCTGGCTCCGTGGGAGCGTTTTGGGCCGTGTGCCTGGCTGGGCCCCCCAGCCCTGCTCCCCCTCCAGTTCCATTGGCCCCCCAGCACCCCTCGCTTGGGGTGCCCACAGCACCCAGCCCGGCCCAGCAGGAGCCACCGCCAGCCAGCCCGGGCTGCCCCGCACAACTGGTACCACCGCTCCGGTTAAACATTGACCGGTGCCAGCCCCGCGGGAGAGCAGCCGTGGCACGGTGGGGGGCGAGGCAAGGGGGGGGCAGACGGTGGCACCTCGACCCTGGGAGCCAGGGAGGGTGTGCAGGGGACCCCGGGCTCCAACACCAGTTGGGGGTCCCCGAGCCCTGGGATCCTCGGGGGCCCCACTGTGCACCGACAGCAGTGGGGAGGTGGGGGGAAGACCAGTAAAGGCAGCTGGTGGGGTTACTGGTCCCTGGGGGTGCTGCCGGGCCCCCGGGAGCTGCAGGGGAAGAGGGGGGGGGCAGCACCGCCCGCTCGGGGCGGTCCCAGCCCGCCGTGGCGGGGGGGGGACCGGGGGTGGTGGTGGGGGGATAAAAGCCGGGGCGGCGGCGGTGGGGCTGGGGGAGCCGGGCAGGATGAGCGCAGCCCCGGGCACCTCCCGCGCCCCGCAGCCGCTGCTCCGCTTCCCCGACGGGGCGGGCGGGCCGGGCGGTGGGCGGGCGGTGGCGGGGGGTCGCGTCCCGGGACCGTGCCCCTGTCCCTGCCCCGGGGGGGGGCCGCGGAAGCGGCGGAGGACCACCTTCAGCCGGGGGCAGCTGTGGGAGCTGGAGAAGGCCTTCGCCGCCGTACCCTACCCGGACATCGCCACCCGGGAGCGCCTGGCCGAGCTCACCCAGCTGCCCGAGGCCAAGATCCAGGTGAGCGCAGATGGGACCCCCGCCTCGCCGTCCCTCCCGACCGGGGACGGGACCCCCCTTCCTCCCGTTGCGTGTCTCACTGTTCCCCCCTCCCTCCACCCGACCCAGGTCTGGTTCCAGAACCGTCGCGCCCGCAGGATCCGGAGTGCCAAACCGGAGCCGCCGTTGCCGCTGCCACTGCCCGAGGAGCGGGGGCCCCCCCCAGCACCCCCCGACAGCACCCCCCCAGGTCCAGCCCCTGCTCTGCATCCACCGGGAGCCCACAGCCCTGCTCGGGGCCTCCCCACCTCGCTGGGCTCCATCTCTGACCTCATCTACAGCGCGGCCATCACCAACCTGGGCGAGCCTTAGCCGTGGTGGGGACCCCCCCGCCAGGCACCACGCGCCCCCAGCTTAGCGCCACGACTTCATTAGGGTGTGGAATTACTGCTGGTCCCAAGGTCCTGAGGATGTCATCCAATATCCTAAATGCTGGTGCGGCTGTGGCAGGGCCAGCTCCCCATCAACTCCCTAATACCGACTAATCTTTTGGAAAAAATACCTTAATCTGAGGCCGTATCCGCGGATGATTGCGGCGTGGCCGCCCCTAATCCGCAGGCACGTTCGCAGGTGCCAGCAGATCTCTCTGTATCAGATATTAAAGCGTGTTTGCAGAGGGGCTTAGCTGCCATCAGAGCATTAATCACCGTGTCCGGCCCTGGCAGGGTGCCCACCCTGCAGGTGCCCGGGTCCCCAGGGCCCAGTGGTGCCAGCCTCGGTGCCCCATCCCCCCCGCAGGTGCTCCGAGCTGGCTCCCCTCTCTGCTCCGTGGTACCCAAGAAGTGTCCGGGGTCTGTGTTGAGGTGCATTCCCTTCCCTACTTGCAGAAGCTGGGCACCCTTTTCACCCCTCACTGCCCCGTCTGCCTTGGGGGGGCCCTGCCACACCCCGCAGCACGGGCCGGCAGCTCCAACAGCCGCGGGTTGGCCGCATCAGGAGCTGCTCTGCGTGGGGACGTGGTACGAGCTACACGGAGCCGAGCCGCTGCAAAGCTGAGCCAGGTGCCAACCCCAACGGGACTGTGCCAGACACCATCATCTTCCTGAACTGGAAGGGGAAGGGGCTTGCCCCCAAACATGAGCTGGGTTGGGTGGTGCCACGTGGGTCACGAGGGAAAAATGTTCTCCCGAAAGCAGACGAGGGAGCAGGCAGGAGCAGCGAGGGCAGGTGAAGGGAGGTTTTGGCAGCAGCAGGATGTGGAGGGAGGATTCACGGCTCTGTGGTGTCTTTTAGATGCCAGGTCTGCGTTCCGCATAGCGACAGACATCTCCCGTCGGGCAGGAAGAAGGTTTCAATCACATAATGTTATTTATTTCCAAAATAAAAAGACAGTAACTTCACAGGAGAACAGGAACGGTGGGAGCTAACACCCCTCTCTGTGACGGGGTGGGGAGAGTCCACAGTTCTTCCCTCCTCTGTTCTACAGCTGCAGGACTTTTAATCCATGATTCATTTCAGGAACATTAAGGAGCAAGAAGTAAAGGACACAGCCTGAGGAATGCAGCAGTCTTCCCAGTAGCAGGAGCAGGTACAAACAGATGGTAGAAGATAAACCTGCCCCAAATTAATGACTCCTGGAGAGGACAAAAGCCTCCAGGATGAGGGCCGCGGTTCATGGGCGTTTGTGCGATTACAGTTTCCCGAGGTCCCCTTCAAGGGTCCGCACCATTACATACAGCTCAGCCAAGCCAACCACCGAGGCCACAATTACCGCTGACAGGACACGCTGGGGACACAAAAAAAGAGATAAGTGACCCTGGGTGTGCAGTCGAGCTGCTACTCCTGCCTGGCCGGCACAGAACGCGCCGCAAGCGTGCTGCGAGGCCACGGGCGCACTCACCGCCGCGGTCTCCACAAAGACGTACTGGCTGCCCAGGTACGTGCAGGCGAAGGCGGCCACCACGGTGACAATGAAGTTGAATATGGTGATGACAACGGCTTTAACAGAGCGGACTGGAGAGAGGGGGGAAAGAGGATTGTGCTGTCAGGTAAGGTTTGGAGTAGGGCTGGGGACAAACTGTAATCCTGCTGACAGAGCCTGCCTGTGGCTGCCTCAGCTGGGCTACAGGAATGCTCAAGGACTCACATCCTTTACACCTCCAGAAATATTTATATGGACAACCAACAGGCCGCCCCTTTACTCAAGAAACTTTTGTGAATTAAAACCTTCTGGTGAGATACTCAGAGAGGGAAGGGCTGTCTGATATCAGCAGCTAGCGATGTGACGGTTCTCGTGCCTGACCTGTAGGTACACACTGCCAGGCGTCAGCAGGACCAGCAGGCACTCACCTTGCCTCCCAAATTCAGCCAATGTCCCGTTCATTTCCTAAAAGAAGGGATTAAAGCAGCTTGTGATCAGTTGTATTTTAATGTTCACTGCATAATAAAACCAACACCAGTCCTGTCCCTAAGACTCCGAAGTTCAGATTGCTGCTGGGGGGCCCTGGCAGCGGCTGGGTGGGCTGTGGGGGAGCAGCAGTTCCACAACACCCTGGTTTCTCTGGGTTTTTGTTTGTGGTCTGATTCCAGGATGCTGAGAAGGAATCACTTCTAATCAAAGCATTTCTCAAAGTGTGAGCGTTTTCTTGCATGTGGGTTCTATGCGGCAGGTTTGTCTTTAAATAGAGGCACTAAAGGGTCTCACCTTGTCATCCATGTTCATGCAGCTGGCAAGAACTAAACCTTGCAAAGCTCTGAACACTCTTTGTCAAATTGAGCATGGGTACACAAGATACTGGTGGGGAGGAAGGGAAGAACGTGGTGAGACATATATATGGGAATACTCTTCTGCTTCTCTGTTTTTTGAAAGGAAGGTTGCTGTCACCACCCTGCTCTGCTAAAACCACTCTGGTTCATAGATGAAGCAGCTAGGTTTGACAGAGGAAAAGGGATCTTCCCACAAGAGTTAACACAGTGTGAGAATACATGCAGGGACTTAAATGCACAGGGACACCAGTGTGGAGAGGGATGGCAGGACGGGATCACAAGGAACACTGGCTTGTCTGAACGATCCCTGTGCCAAAAGATCTCAGCTCTTCCTGGAGAGAACAAGAGCCCAAATATTATGCTGTTTTTTCAGCTTTTACCTTGACACCAATGATCTTGCTTTAAAACTATGATGAGAATGTAACTGTTCAGAAAAAAGCAGCACAGATGCTCCCAGTAAAACATTTACCATAGGTGCTCAGTCTCCCAGATCAAAACCTGAGATCTTTGGCACAGTTCCAGTGTCTCTTCTATTTCACCATCCTAACAGCCCTGCCCCACCTCTGCCCTCAACACCATATCAGTGCTCCCTGTGCATTTACACTGTGCATTCCTCAAGCCCCTGCCCACATTCCCACTGTACTGTATTCATTCGATGGGGCAAATTTCCTTTACCATCTGCCAGGTTGCTAACGGCCACGCTTTTGAGGAATGAATCCTGCCAGCAAGTAACGCAGTGGGTCTCTCACCTGGCCGGTGATGTTGCGGGTCATCCGCCGGTACTCCTCGTTGGCCAGCTTGGCCTTTATCCGCTCCAGCCGGGCCACCAGCTCGGGGTTCTGGGGGAAGGACACAACCGCCGTGAGGGCCGGGGGTCGCCGCCGCCTCCCACGGCCCGTGCCCGGCCCTCACCTACCCGCGGCGGCACCGGCACCTCGGGCAGGTCGATCTCGCAACCTTCCAGGAGCTGGTGTAGGTACAGCGGAGACCCTGCGGGTGGGGGACGGGGCTGTTAACGGCAGCCCGGCCGGTCGCGGCCCGTCGCGCCGGTTGTGTGGGGGGGGGGCTGTCGGTGCGGCCTACCTGCCTCCCGCAGCGCGGCGTGCAGCCTCCGCAGCACGCTGAAGTGCACCAGGGCGCCTTCGGAGGCTAGTGCCGCCTCCAGCTCGGCCCGCAGGCCAGCGGGCAGCCCCGCCAGCTCGCCACCCTCCACCGCTTGCCGCAGCCGCCGTCCGGCCCTCACTGCCACCGCCATCTTACCCCCGCAACCGTCGCCTGGGCGACGCGGAAAGCCATAGAAACGCGGCGGGCGGGCAGGCTAGAGCGGCGCTGGCCCGTCCCGCGGGGGCTGCCGGGAAGCGGAGGGGGCGCGGTGCATTGTGGGCTGGCGGTGGGATGTCGGGCGGCGCGGCGCGGCGGTACGTGGCGGCGGCGCTGAGCCGGTACCGGGCCCGGGGGCTGTCGCTCTGGGAACCGCCGCCGGCCCGCGGGCTGCGGCCCCTGGGCGCGGGGGGAGCCGCGGCCCTCCCGCTGCTGCCGCGGCGGCACCTCTCTTCGCGGTGAGGCCTGCGGGGTGGGTGGGGGTGGTTTATGGGACGCTTGGGGTGAGGGTAGGGCGGGGGTGTGGAGGGGCTGCGGGGGGGTTGGGGGAAGGCGGGCGGTGGGAGCTTGCGAAGGGGTGTTTGGGGGTGGGGAGTTGGAGTTCAGGGGCTTTGAGGGGGGTGTTTGGGTTGGATGTGGGATTTGGCGGGGGGGGCTGTTGGGTCATTGGGGGGAAGATTTGGGAAGGAGTTGGGGGGGGGTGGGCTGTTGGGGCTGGGGTGTGGGGGGAGTGGATTGGGCTAAAGGGGCGAGTGGGCAGGGAAGGGTGGCCAGGGGAGTTGTTGAAGGGCTGCCTGACAGAGGGGTGAGGGGCAGGGAAGGGGGGTGGGTGACTGGTACCCGAGTGGAACTCTCGAGGGAGGGGTTGTGCGGTACCTGAGGGGTGTACGAGGTGGGGGGGCCGTGCCTGACCAGCACCTGGGGCTCGGGTGCTGTGTACTGCCTGGCCTAGGGGCTGGTTCAGCCCCTTCTCACCCACCAAACTACCCTCTCGGTTCCTAGAAACCGTCCAGAGGGCAAAGTGCTGGAGACTGTGGGAGTGTTTGAGGCCCCGAAGCAGCACGGCAAGTATGAGACGGGACAGGTAAGTGGTTCTGGGCAGCAGAGCAGACCCTGCAGGCTTGTTCCACAGAGATCGGGTGTTTTACCAGTAAGGAGGCTGCTGCACTGTAGCAGGTGGCCAGAAGTTTCACAGTTCAGTGCTCCTTGGCTTTGCTGTGTCTGCAGTTTGTTAGTCATCTGACAGTAGCAAGTTGATAAGAATCTGCAGCATGACACAACCGTTCCTACAATGGCATTTGCTCCGCTGGTCTTATTTAAGGGTTTTTTACCCCTAGGAGCAGAGGAGATAATCACTGAATTTGAGAAATAACAACTAAACTTGTCATTGCCGTGCTCGTGACTCACACATCTGTTTCTGCGTTCCTGAGCAGTCTCTCCCATGCTGGTTTCCTTTTGGCACTTCTGCTGTTCTATTACTTTATTACTGGTTTAGTCATTCACTTTTATGGAATAGAGATGACATGGATTTCTTCTCTCATCCCAGACTGTTTATGTTTCCTCTTTGTTAACACTCTGGCTTTACACGGTGGTGGTTCTCCCCATTTTTCCATCCCGTGCATTCCTACCCTTTCTAGTTTTACTTCAGTCATTAAATACTATCAGAAAAGGGCTTTTTGGCTTAGTGTTTTCTGTTGTATCTGAGTTGAATAAAGCTTGCTGTGTATTCAAATGCAATTATTTGTTCCTTTCAGCTATTTCTTCACAGTGTGTTTGGCTATCGAGGAATAGTCCTGTTTCCCTGGCAAGCCAGGCTTTACGATCGAGATGTGGCTTCTCCTGCCACTGAAAAGTAAGGATTTGTTCTGGTTTATATGTTGTTGTACTGTTACATTTTGTAGAGAGTTCCCTGGTTGGGCTAAGCAAGTCTTTTTAAGGAGGACAATGGCATGCATCTGTTTTGCATGAATGTAAACTAGAAGAGGTGCTTAAAGAAGAGACATGGTGTGAGTATTAATTTTATGTTAATTAGAAGCAGGATGGAAGTAGGAAGGATGAGTGTGTGTGTGAAGGAAATTAAAAAAAAAAAAAAAAATCAAGCTCCTGGCATTTTTTAATATAAAAAATCCCCTTGTGTTGCTTTTTGGTTTAGGTCCAGGCTCCTGTGGTAAAATTGCAAGCTGCTGCTTCGGTAGATTGCCAGGGAGTTGGATTTGTCAGGTGCCTCCCCGGTTCCAACGCACTAGGCCAAGTTCATCCTTCCTGTGGACTGAGTCGTCGTTCCGTTCTCTCCCTTCTTCCATCCATTTCCCCCCTGGCCTGTGTTGGTGGTGTGCTGGGAAGGAATGAGGAGTAAGCAGAGAGAGAATCAGAGGGCAGTAGAAATACCCACCCCAGACAGGAGATTAGGCTGAGCAGGAAGAGCTTCTGAGATGTCTGAAAACAGAGCTGTTGTGCTTGTGACAAACACTGTTGATTGTCATCTCAGCTCGTCTGTCGTGTGGGTGGCTGACAGGAGTTCTGTTTGGATGGAACTGAATGATTACAGACTGTGAAATGTTTTTATTTTAAAAATCATTGTTTATGAATGTGCTTGGTCCTGCTAACAACAGTTTGCTGCCATCCTGCACTTGAGCTCAGTGCTCTGCTTTTCTTTTCAGAAGCGAGAACGCAGCAGGCCATGGTTCCAAAGAGGTCAAGGGCAAAACACACACTTACTATCAGGTGTTAATAGATGCCCGGGATTGTCCGCATATAGTAAGTAACCAATAATCTTGGCATTGAAACTCAAATATCTTCTGTATGAATGCTTTAGTTGGACAGGCACTA